GGGGTCACCCACTCCACAGCTGCCGGCACACGGTCCTCGGGCCCATGCTGCGACCAGCTCTCCAGCAGGCTGATGGGCATCACTTTTCTCTCACTTGAGAGGGAAGTGCCTCTGCCATTTTGGGTGGTGTACCTCCTACCACCTTCTGCCTCCAGACCTCTGGGCTTGTTCCCCAACCCCACGGCCCTTGGTTCTGCCCCAGGCAGCCGGAGCCCCGCTCACTCACCACAGCACGCATCGCCAGGCCCCTGGCACCCGGGGGCAGCTGGTAGCATCGCCTGTCTCCGAAGGCGGGTTTGGATTGCGCAGCGTCCCTGGTGACAGGCAAGGCAGAGGGCAGGGGATGAGGACCAGCATGGCTCGCCGTGCTTCTTGCCCCACCGCAAAGTTTCCAAACCGTGAAGACAGACAAGTGCCTGAGGTATTGGGGCCAGGAAAAAGGGGGGCTCTCCCAACCCACCTCAGTGCCCCAGGATCACTCTGGGACGTCTGAAGCTTGTCCCTAAAGCCACCCTTTGGGGCAATATCAGCTCCTGCAACTCCCCTCCTCACTGCTCCTGGCAGCTGCAGGCACCCCCCCCCCTGCCTGCCAAGCCCTGTTCCCAAATACCTCTCCAGGGACACATCCTGGCCAGCCCAGCCCTGGCTGGGGACAATCCCCGGCTAAGGGACAGACCCACCTGAAGGGACCATAGAAACACGAAGCAAACTTGGCGCTGTAGCTCATCACCGAGACCTGCAGAGAGAGGAGCCACGAGGGCCAGAAGCTCAGCGCTGCATCATCCCAGCACTGGGGCAGTAGATCCCCTCCCACAGCTGTTTTTCACTCTGCCCCATATCCTCCTGCCCCTGCCAGAGGCCTGCACCTCGCCGCCTCTGTGTCCACCCTCCTGCTTGCACTGGGGCAGGGAAATGCTTGTTGTATATCCTGGCCAAGGTGGGATTTTGCTTCTCCTGCCGCTTGCCCGGGTCCCGTTGTGTCACAGCCTCCCTGCGGACATGGCTCCTGCCTTTGGCACCCACAGATCCCGAGCTCACCTTGTTGCCCAAGTCGTTGGAGATCAGCGCGTTCTTCATGGCCGCGACACGCCCATCCATCATGTCTGAGGGGGCAACGATGTGGCAGCCTGCAGGGAAAGACCAGAGATGCTGGGAAGCACCTGGGGCAGTGACTCTGCCTGCAGCCCGAGGGGACCCCAGGCCAGAGGGACCCCGGGCGCCCGCAGCTCTGCCGGGGCCAGCGCATGGAGGGCA